ATCTTTTATTCAGTGGATGTTTGTGGTGTGCCTACCATGTCTTGAGCATGATGTTGGGGATTGGGAACATGATTGTTCAGCCAGGCAGACAACCTGTTTATACACCCAGTCTAGGCTATTTCTTATACTGTTTTGCTGTGTGTGTGTGTGTGTGTGTGTGTGTGTGTGTAGTGGTGGTGGTGGTGGTAGTAAGTAGTAGTAAGTAGTAGTAGTAGTTAAATGGAGAGAGGCTTTCTTGGAACTTGAATTCTACTGATTTGAGAGGTACTTGTGAGCAGACATGCAAAACTAAGCCTGAAGTAGTTAAGCAGCTTTTGGTTTTAAGAATTTTAATAAGGGTTTTAGGAAGTAGGTATATAGAGTTCAAGAGGGCATAAATATAGCCATGTATGATGTGTGAGCTTCTCTTTATATGTAATGTAACATATAAATGTAATAAATAATCTTCTATCTGTAGTGTAACTGGATATTGACTACTGTCCATTCTTTATTATCTGTAAAAAAAAAAGTGAGATATGTAATTTCCTTAATTTTGAAATTTTACTCTTTATATATTATCTAATATAACTGGATATTAATTACACTATTATAATGTGACATGTAAATATAATATATAACTTTATATATATAAAGAGGGAAATCTCACAGATAAGGAGTAATTATATATCTGACTTATTTTATAAATAGTGAAGACTCCAGTTTGATCTAACATGGATTATATCCCAGCTACCATCCTAACATCCCAAATTACTGATGTCTGCTCTGAATTTGCACATCATTTCCTCCATGATGGGACTGGTCTTCCTAGGTTGGTACTGAATCCGCACCTAGTTTGAGATTGTATGCACACTTAAACTTGAACTCTCTAATTTCTGTTAGGGGGAATTTATCTTCTTCAAAAGGTTGTTTTGTGTTGGAATAATACTTTAAGGTATTTAAGAATGTGGCATTCTTATGCTGTCCAGTAACAAGATAGATTATCATTGTATTAAAAATGTTTATTTGAGCCCACCTAACACTTGATCTCCTCTTGTTTATTTAAAAATTAGATTGAATAATTGCCCATTTCCTTTTTTTCTTTAAGTCGGATTAAAAGAGTCTCAGTGGCAGAATTATTCTCTTCCAGAACTATGTAAAAGTAGAATTAAATTGAACACTTTAGGTAGTCAGTGTTTCTTAGTTGCAAGTGTGTGATTGCCTAAAATCTCAAAAGCATTCAGTTTTATAAAGGCATATTATGTTGAGTTGTTCACTTCTTCACTTTCTGAGATATAAGCATTTATTTTCATTTTAGGAATCTTTACCAGTTTCACCTGCATTTCAGAAATAAGATAAAATGTTAAAAAGATGGCAAGATATCAAGCTATGGCCATGCTCTAGAAAAGTGACAGTAGTAAAATGAATTAATTTGATACCAACCCAAGTGTGCAGACATTACCTCTAAAAGAAGCATCAGTGAGGTATTGACCTACAGCCCAGTTCATGACTACAAATAAAAGGATATATTAAAAGATTTGTGGCGCCGCGTGGCTCAGTTGGTGGAGCATGCAACTCTTGATCTTGGGGTTGTGAGTCCGAGCCCCATGTTGGGTGTAGAATTACTTAAAGATAAAATCTTAAAAAAAAAAAAAAAAGGATTTGTGATATTATCTATGAAGAGTTTTGACCCATAGGAGAAAAACATAATATAGTATGAAATATAATTTATATAATAAATAAATTTTAATATCTTCTAAAATGAGGTCTTTTTCAAAATTATAAATAATTCTATGGATTATTAGGAGGAGCATGGTGTTTAAAGTGAAGATATTTTTTTCTTGACATCTCTGAAATGTGGATTAATTGCACCTTCACATCTCAGCTGTATTTCCTTCAAATGACTAAGTTGTATTCAGTTTCATGAGTGGCATGTATAGTTGCCATAAATTTTTAAGCCATACTCTTTGTTTTGCCTTTTATATGAGCATGGTAGATCCTCAGTTTTGACTTTTGGAGAGTGAATAAAACAATTCAAATTCAACTAGTGTGTTTCTTAGAAGAATATAGTTAACAGTTTTTTAAGCTTTAAAAATACTATTATAGGATTAAATATGGTGATTTTTCTGAATTTTCAGTTATATAAGTTAGGCTGAATCATTACCATGTGAATATTCTCTGGCTTATCTCTGGCATAAATATAGTATAGGCTTTGAAGATAAATTTAATTTTTAAAATATTGAATAAATTGATTATTCTTAATTTTATTTTAATTAAATAGTCCCTAAATTTAATAGCCCACAAATTCATTCTTTGGCTTCTTGCTTACAGTTGTAGGTAATTATTGTTAATTCAGTTCCTAGTTTGTGATGAAGTGCTCCCTACTGTATGCTTGCCTTGCTTTCACCTAGAATCTAGGGCCATTACTTTCTGTAACCATTTCAGTGAGCTGCCATAGTTTTCAGTCTGTACTGTCACCTGATCCAAGCATGCGCCAAAATATCCACTGTTTCTGGCTCCTGTCTGCTGAATCTGCTTTGCAAAACCCTTTGTTCTCTGAGCTTTTGCTTAAGCCAAAAACAAAATTTAACAAATTCTTTGGAGTGTGGACATATGCCATTTGCTTCCTTAGCTCCCATGCCATGTAACTCTTTAGCTTTTATTAAACTTGTAAATACTTTATTAAATACAACAATGGCATCCCCATGTGCAGTTGTGTGGCTCATGTGTCAAAATAAAGGCTGCTTGTGAACCTGTCAGAAGAATATGAATGCTCCACTTGCGCTGCATTCAGCTTTTTATTTTGTTTATTATTTTCTTAAATCAGCCACTTATTGTTTCATAGTTTTTGGTTTAATTATCTGATTATTTTATGTGTTATACCAAGGTAAGTTTGATGTAAATAAACTTTGTATTCTATGTGGTTATATGTATTTCATAGTAATTATTATTACATACATTTCCATTTAGACATGCTGGCCATTTCTAAATAAATATATCCTGAACTTAAAATAAGTAACTTCCTCCATTTTTTTGAAATAAATTTAAAAAACAATGTTATGGATTACTTTCTGTAAAATTCAATTTAAAACAGAAAGGCTACCATGTATTACTTGTGCCACAGATGTAGGCAAATCTAATGTGAGAAAAATCTGTTTTTATAGCATACAGCTATAGCATATAGCTTTAGCAAATAATATTTTAAACTCCTAGAAAGGTTTAAAAAGTAAATAGCAGGTTCAACTAGTGTTTTTAAAGAAAAGTTTAAGCTTTATTTTATACAGTTTTTCAGGGAAAATAGTTATTTTCTAAACTGAGATATATTTCTATTATTATTTATGATACCTGTTTTCAGAGAATCATGAATAATTTGATAGATTGAGCAGCTGCTTGAATAAGTTTTTGTCTTATGTTAAAAATTCCCTTATTAGGAAAGGAAGACGTTAAATAGATACCCAAATTGGTCTGGGAACATGTATGCCTAAAAAAAGAGAATGGATTTGATAGTGTATTTGTGCTGTTGATGTCTATATTTCAGGGGGAATATGAAGAAATTCTTTAACATAATGTATGTGCAAAATAGGGCTACCTAATTGCCTTACACATTTCTTAATTCATAATATTGATTGCTAATACCATGTTGTAGTCTTTTCTATTTCTCTTCTTTATTTTATCTCGTCCTTGGATCTTTTCCTCAGTTTCCTGGCGTCTGCATTTCTTTGTTTTTTTCTGAAAGAAAGTTTTAGTGTAGCTCTGTCTTGGATCCAAAACTTTTATACAAGAACTGGCTGGCATCATTTGTAGCTCTGGCTTTTATCTCATTTCTCCCTTTTGCTGGTCTCCTCCCTGTGGAGGAAACAAAATCACATCATAGGAATGTCAGCTATAACAAGCCTTTTAACCTTTCTTTATTTTGCTGTCTTCAGTATTTTACTAGTGAGTATAATTCCAATTATTCTACTTATTTAAAAAACATTTTGAAAACTGGATATGTACTGAAATTCAAAAACGCAGTTTTTGGATTGTTTGATTTTCAGTTTTAATAGTGCCTTTTATGTGGAAAATTTACAATAAGAGGTTAGCCTCCTATTTAGAGTTAGATTAAGTTTTTTCTATCCCAAATTGTTCCCAAATGAAATTTGCCCCAAAAAGAAACATTAGAATATGCTCATTATAGACTGATTTGCACATAAAATGTTACTATAATTTGCAGCTGCTCTTCCCCAGTGGTTTGCAGCCACATGCACGTGATTAGGCCATATGTGTGCCAGATGCTCCATTTATAATGCCCCATTACAAGCAGTGTTGGACTCCCTGTGGTAATAAAATGCAATGCGGTGATTCTGAGGCATTTTCTTAATTACAGAACCATACATGAAGTTACAGTGGGTTAACTGAAATTAACCAGATTATTTGTCATACTCTTTAAATGTATTTGCTTTTTTTATTTTAAATTGGTTAGTCCCTTCATTTCTTGTTACTTTGCTTTAGGACCCACAAGGATGGCTACATGGCTTTCTCTTTTTTAACATTGACAAACCTTTGCCTTGGAAAGAACCTAGATATAGTGGGTTATAAAAAAAAATAGGTACCAGGAAATGAAATCAGAATTTAAATTAAATTTATGGATATGACTCAAAATGTTCACTGAGCAAGGTGAGTGAGACACAGAATATCCTCTCAGTTTAGGATTAGAAACTGGAAACTCTGGGTCTGCATTTTAAGTTGTATCTAATAAAATACATCCCTATAGATGTCCCCTGAAGTAATAAAGCAAATATAACTACTTGGTTTATTTTCTGTCACTCAAGTTTAAAATGTTGAACTTTTTGAGAAGTAACATTTTAAATTAAAATGTTAATAAGCATTTTGAGAAGTAACATTTTAAACATGTGAAGTTAGTTTTAAAATCTGTTATAGACCCGTATGTCTTTGCCTTCCAGAGTATGTTTATTTTAAACATTTCTTTATCATACAGACAATGTGCTATTGAGTAGTGAACTGATTTAAAATTTATTTTTCAGATGAACCAGAAACTCGAGATGCGTGGTGGGCAGAAATCAGACAAGAAATAAAATCACATGCTAAAGCATTAGGCTGTCATGCTGTAGTGGGCTACAGTGAATCAACTAGCATCTGGTAAATGATAATAACTTGATTTTCTAGATGCTGTAGTTTACAGATTGTCATCTGAAAGGGTACAAGGTTTATGCAAGTATAGAAAAAAGAATTGTGGCGTGATCTAGGAGCATGGGCTTTGGAGTACATCAGACCGAGGTCCATGTGCCACTTTGGCCACTTAATTGCTGTGAGACTTTGGAAAAGTAACTACTCCTCTGAGCCTCAATTTCTACGTTGAAATGGAGTTAATGATCACTTATCAATTAAGATTATTGAAGAATTAAATGAGAATTGATACTGGCACATAGCAAGTATTAATTCTAGGCCAACTTTACTCCACTTTGTGACCCTGCTAACTCCTTCCTCTGGGATATTGGGACCCTTGATCTGTTGTAAATGAACACCATTTTTCTTTAAAGTTTGTCTGTAAGCTCTTTCTGCCTTCTATTACTAATTTGTACCATAAATTTCTCCTGCCAACACATCGTCCTTCCTATCTCTGCCAAGTTAGGAAGGGACTTCCATACTCTTACTCTGAATTCCTTTTTCTCCTACCTTTCGTTTGAATAACCTCTCTTACTTTAAAGTCCTTGCCATTCCACAGTTCAGACTTTTCTACTTCCAAAACATTCTCCCGCCTTTCTTAATTCTCTGGTATCTCCACCAGTTGAACATGATTACCCTCCTTCTAACAGCTTGACCTTAATGCTTTCTCATTCTCAAGTCTTCCTCTATCCCCACTTAACTTTCAACCACATTTTGGACTTCATTATTGCTCAAAACTATTTGCTTTTAAAAATTTGAAACTATAAAATTTCACTCTTGGATCACAGCTTAATATTTTCCACCCACCTCATTTGCCCATTTACACCTGGTTTATTTTGACACTTACCTTAACCAAGACTTTGCCCAGTTCCTTACTCAGGTTCTGATTTAACTTTCTGACTGCCATTGATGAACCCTATTTTCAACCCCTTGAAAAGTTTATAACAGATAACATCTAGAAACTGACCTTCTGCTGTTTATTTTTCCACCTATTCTTGGATAATTCTTACTGTCAGCTGTTACCTGGGTAATTCTTTTATGCATATGGTGGTCTTTAGTGTTAGAGAAAAATGATTAGACTCCAGTAAATGTGGACATTACAGAGCCAAGCCATGCTGTTTCATCTTCTGAGGGCCCTTTCTTTTGCCGACCATGTGTGATATTCTTGCACCTTTCTGTCCCCAGTGTAGCTATTCTACTTGTGTTAAACTAGTAATTTGTTATGCTTATCCTGCCTTACTTCCCAATAGATAGTTTTGGCTCATTCATAGTTTTAGTGTCATAGCTTTCAGGTCCTAAGGTTATGGTCTTAAAGGACGTAGTTTTTTGTTTTGTTTTTTTAAGATTTTAATTATTTACTCAGAGAGAGCAGGGGGAGGGGTAGAGGGAGAGAGAGAATCCCAAGCACACTCTGCGCTGAGCACAGAGCCTGACTCGGGGCTCGATTCCACGACCCAGAGCTCATGACCTGAGCCGAAATCAAGAGTCAGTTAACCCACTGAGCCACCCAGGGGCCCTTAAAAGACATAGTTTTTGCCATCAGATTTCTCAGTGCCCACTTAAACACTTAAAAACCTGGCGTCTCTCTACTAAATCACAGATCAAGTGACCATTTCTTTCATGTCCTTTCAGGCTTCTGGTCCATTTATACTTTGTTTCCATTATTTTGTCCCTAGACTGCTACTTTTCTCATTTGCTTTGGGGGATTTTATTCAATAATTGTATTGATTATTTAAAATTAGGTGATATGTAATCAAGAATTCCAAAGAATTCTTTTGAAAATCACTTTTTGTCTTGCATATAATGATGTAGTTTAAGCTCCATTTAGTGTATTTTGGATATTATTTGTTTCAGATACCTTTTGTTATTAAGTTTAAATTAAGCTATAGCAATATTGACATTGATCATTACATATTAAGCTTTTAAAGTAATTTTAATAAACTTTAACATGCATTTAAAGAGTGCTTTAATACAGTTTTATGGATTATTGTTGAATTCAGCAATATAATTTGTTACTGCTTTTATTTTGAAACATTCCAGTATTTATCAGTTTTACCATATTTTAAAGGAATTTACTGTCATTAATATTATACTTTATCTTTTATACCTTTTAAGCAATAATTCTTGCCCTTTTCATTTTAATAAGTATTTCTATTTTTTATCCTAGAGTAGGAGATAATCCTATGGTATTATTAATATTTAGTAGTCTAACTTGAATTTAAATTGTCACCCTTATAAACACTTTGATATTTAACATTTTCCAAAGCTAGGTTGCCTGAAGATATTAACTATTTTATATTCTTTTCTTTTATAGTGAAGAGGTCTGTATTTTATCTGCATCCGGCACAGCAGCTGTACTCAACCCTAGATTTCTGCAGGATGGCACCGTGGAGGGCTGTTTGGAGCAGAGGTTGTCATGGCAGCCTGGCTTATTTTCTATAAGGGCAAAGAAGGGAGAAGTTGACTTTTAACTTTTAGAGCCAGGATAGTTCTGTATGAGGGTGGGTTACTGTGGTGCACTATAGAAATCAGGACCAGTGTACTTTACTGCTTTTTACCTAACCTGTAGCAATAGAGAAGTACTGAGTTCTGTACTACGTGACACACCTTATTATAATTTTCCTAGTATCTTGATAAATTACATGTGTGACTCTCAAAGAATTTCAAGTATATATTTTTTGTTTGTTACACTATAGAAATAATTTTTTATTTTTTCCTTTCCCTTTGTCTTACCTCTGAAACAGAAAAAGGTCATGAAACAATTTGCATACAGAAAATTTATAATTTACAAAACAATCAAAACACTATATTGTACCAAAATTATATATAAAAGTTCCTGGAAAGTGAAGTATAACTTTAATGTTTGTGAAAGAGAAAGTAAAAGTGAAATTATTAATTTGAGATTAAAATTAGATTACTTTTTAGTTTATTTATTCATCCCTTAATCTGTTGGCTTCCATAAATGTCAGAAATGCTTTCCATAAACAGATGAAATTATCAAATATACATACAGAAAACTATTAGTTTGGTGCCAGAGTATACCTGGATAATATAAATTTTAATTACCCCTTACTCCACTGTATGCGTATTTGCTTTTTTTAGTATAAATTTGCAAGTCTCTGTATAACAAAGAAATATGAAGGAGAAATAGCTCAGGTAGGCAAATAGAAGACCTTGGTCAGTTTCTTCTTTAGCTTGTATTAAAAATGGATTTTGACTGTAACATATTACTGAGCATTGAAAGTCATCAAAAATAGGAAAATAGAGGTGTGGAACATTTTGAAGTATGTTAAAAATCAGAGTGTTCTGTTGAGAAAACTGCCTGCCGGTGAGTTGTCCCAGTGCTACAACACAGTTTTGACACATGTCAGTTGAGTTCATTCTTGAGTAGATAGAAGCCTGATTTAACAAATGACCTTTCCCATGCAGCTTGATTATTTTGGTATTGTGGCTTGGATGGATACAGTGAAGTCTCTTATATGGCAATCTAGCGCAACAGATACCATCCCTATCTGTAAAAGAGGAAAATGTCTTTTTTTCTTGCTATAAAATTATTTCTGCTTACTAGGGAAAATTTGAAAAATATACGAGCGTCGAAGGAAGAAAACATTCTCTGTGATCTCAGTATTCAAAGACAATCCCTTTTGTATATTTCATATTTAAAATGCTTTCTTAAATTTAAATACTTCTATTTTTATGCCTATGATATTACATCACTTAAGTTCAAATTTCTGTGAGGTGTTTAGTTAAAAATTGCCCCAGTTTTCATCCTTTTATGCCCCTTTGTAACGCGGGCTTTGGTTCAAACAACCTGACATTAGAATCTGAAGTCTGCTACTTAGTATTTAGTGTTACTGAATAAGTTACTTAGTAGCTCAGGTTTGTTTCAGGCCAAGAAGAACTAGTTTTTGTTACTGTTTGCTGCACATTACATTGGGGAGGGGGTGGTGTTTAGCTGTGTGTTCTTACTTATCTTCAAAGAAAATGAGCCTTTCTGGGTAGATATTATTATTCTAGTTTTATAGAGGAGGCTCTGAGAAGTTTAATGACTTGTGCAAGGTCACACAACTTCACTTAGAATCTGTTTGATTTTCCTGTTACTTTTAATATACCAGAATGCCATCTCAACAATAAAAGAATAATACCTGGGATTGATTAGGTTTAGAAGGTTATTGTGGATATTCAGTGAAATAATGTGTATAAGAAATTTGCAGGAAGCCTGACTTGTAGTAGATACAGTATGAGTTTCCTTTCTCCTTTTTAATTTGTCCACTTGACAAGCTTCAACTTCTAACAGGTTGCTTTAGCTTGGAGTGAATAGGGAACATCTTTCCAGAGCCCTAGAAGGTGTGGCTGTATGAAAGTCTGGAGTTCTCCCTGGAACTTCCTTCTGCTTCCATTTCTGTTGTTCCCCGAATTTCCTTAGATTGGAAGAGTGAAAAAAATACTTAATCATTCTAAAATGAATTAATAAACAACATTATTGCAACAAACATTTTACAATGATTGGGAAGGTTGTGTGTTGTCATTTGTGGTTTATATATGATATATATGTTGTTTGTGAAACAGTTGTATGGTTTCTCAGAAATCATAAAGCAGTCATTAGGAATTAGAAATGTTAGATTATGCCTATTTTTGACTTTTTAAATTTTTAATGGGTTTGTTTTTGATCGTAATTTTTTTTTTTTTTCCAAATTGTTAGGTTGTCTGGTTAAAGAGGTTTTTTTCCTTGGGATTTTTTTTGTGATTATATTTGAGTTATATTTGTCAGATAGTAGGAAAATGTCACCCATACCTAACCATTATTTTTATGTTGTATCACAAAGAATAAGCTCTCAGATAATAGTGGTTTTTGTCAGGTGGGACACCCACAAACATATGAATTGATGCAATCCAGTGACTACTTGTGTAAGTCTTTTCTCTCATACGAAAGTGTATGGTTCTTATTTCATGGTCATTTTTAATTCTTAGTAGTCATAGTGGTACTCTCATAACCTACTCTGGAAGTTGTGTAGTTTGTACATAAGTACTGTATATGAAAAATATGTTTTTGAAAAAATGCATAAAATTTTAAAGAATGCTTCAATTTTTTTCTTGATGTATTCATATAGGCTAGAAGAAAATTTGCCTGCAGGCTGTGGATTTTGCCACATACCATATGATGAACTGAATATGCCATTTCCAGCTCATCTCACATACTGCTATAACTGCAGAAAACAAAAAGTTCCTGATGTTCTCTTTACAACTATAGACCTCCCAATAGATGCAACAGTTATTGGAAAAGGTTGTCTTATTCAAGCAAGGTATATTTGTGCAAATAGTATTTGGAGTCTTCAAAGGAGTTATGGGATATGACGTCGATAGACCTGTTTCAAATGTCAGCTGTAGTGTTTCCTATCTGTGTGATCCTGGGCAGGCTGGGTAATGCTATCCAAATCTTGTATTTAATCACATAGAAAATTGGGAGGAAGAATACACTCTTTATAAAACTCAAATAAGGGCGCCTGGATGGCTCAGTTGGTTAAAACTCAAATAAGTTCATATGCAAAAGCAGTTTTAGGGGCGCCTGGGTGGCTCAGTCGCTAAGCGTCTGCCTTCAGCTCAGGTCATGGTCCCAGGGTCCTGGGATCGAGCCCCACATTGGGCTCCCTGCTTGGCGGGAAGCCTGCTTCTCCCTCCTCCACTCCCCCTGCTTGTGTTCCCTCTGTCGCTGTGTCTCTCTCTGTCAAATAAATAAATAAAATCTTTAAAAAAAAAAAAAAGCAGTTTTAAACATTTAAATTCTGTACAGATGTTTATTATTATGAAGATTACTAATTAACCTGTTGTGGGATAGTAATGTGGCTCTGTTTTAAGGACATTAAATATGTAATACATTTTAGAAATTATTTTTTTTTCTTTTAAAGAATAGTGCCATGTAGTGTTTCTTTTACTACTTCATTTAGCTGTTAACAGTTCCTTTTAGAATGTACTGGAGTAGGAAATGATGAATTATGGTTGGCATACAGGAAGCAGCCATAACTGTCTAGGTCACTAACAACTGCCAGGTTACCAAATCCATTGAGCGGTTCTGTCCTCATCTTACTTGACATCTCAGCAGTATCATACAGTTGATCATTTTCTCCTTCATATTTCTTTGACTTCATAGTGCCCCCTGCCACCACCACCCCAGGTTTTTCCTACCTTTATGTATAATCCTTAGTCTCCTTGTTGATTCCTCCTCCTTTTCTTTTCTTTTTTTTTTTTTTAAGATTTTTTATTTATTTGATAGAGACACAGTGAGAGAGGGAACACAAGCAGGGGGAGTGGGAGAGGGAGGGCTCCATCCCAGGACCCTGGGATCATGACCTGAGCCGAAGGCAGACGCTTAACGACTGAGCCACCCATGCACCCCTCCTCCTCCTTTTCTTGATCCTAGAAGGGCCACGGGTCTGGACCCTCTTCTCAAAGCCCCAGTTGAACTCATCAATTCCTGTAGGTCTGTGTGCTTTCCATATGTCTTTGGCGCCCAGATTTATAACTCTAGTGCAGAACTTTCTTCTGAGCTTCAGACTCATACTTTCGTACCCTATTTTGAAGTCTTGTAGGCTCACATACTTTGTTCTGAATTGAACCGCTGATTTTCTCCACTTCTTTCATATTAGCCTTCTTTATTTTATTTTATTTTAATTTTATTTCATTATTTATTTATTAAAGATTTTATTTATTTATTTGTCAGAGAGAGCACAAGCTGGCTCCCTGCTGAGCAAGGAGCCTGATGTGGGACTCAATCCCAGGACCCTGGGATCATGACCCGAGTTGAAGGCATACTCTTTTTTTTTTTTTAAATATTTATTTATTTGACAGACAGCGAGAGAGGGAACATAAGCAGGGGGAGTGGGAGAGGGAGAAGCAGGCTTCCCGCAGAGCAGGGAGCCCGATGCAGGGGTCGATCCCAGGATCCTGGGATCATGACCTGAGCCACCCAGGGGCCCCGAAGGCAGACTCTTAATTTACTGAACTACCAGGCGTCCCTAGCCTTCTTTATTATGATGAATGATCTCTTTGCTCTGTCCAGTTCTTCATGCCAAGTATGGTATTCTTTGACACTGTCCTCCTGCCTAACCTCCCTGCATCAGAGTTATCTTACAAAGTGATGTTCAGTTTTATTTTTGAATGTATTTCTGATCTATTTACTTTTGCTTTCATTTCCTCTTACATCTTAGACCTTCTATTTGGGATTGTCTTTATTTTGCTAATACCCTTTAGTATTTATTTTGGTGGGTCTGCTGGTGGTGAACTGTCTATTTTTGCTTGTCTGGAAATATTTACTTACCTTGAAAAGATATTTTGGGCTGCCACATTTATTTTCTTATAGCACATTGAAGATACCTCTCCATTGCCTTCTGGCTTTCATTGCTACTGTTGAGAAATAACCTATTAGATTAACTTTTATTCCTTTGAAGATAACCTTCTCCCCACCCCCCACCCAGGTTTGTGAGTTATTCTATTTGTCTTTGGTTTTCTGCAGTTTCCCTATGAAATGTTAGGTATGGAATTCTTTTATCCTAATTGTTGTATATTGGGTTTCTTGAATCTGTAGATTCTTTCATGTGCTTTAGAAAATTTTTAGATATTAGTTCTTCTATGTTTCATCTCTTTTCTCTTCTTGATACTGTAATTAAAAATGTTAGACTTTCTCACTGCCTCCTCTATGTTATTCTCTTTTCTGTATTTTCTATCTTTTTGTCTATGTCATATTTTGGATACTTCCTTTTTTTTAATATTTTATTTATTTATTTGACAGAGAGAGAGAGAGCACAAGCAGGGGGAATGGCAGGCAGAGGGAGAGGGAGAAGCAGGTTTCCTGCTGAGTGGGGAGCCCAACGTGGAGCTCGATCCCAGGACCCTGGGATCATGACCTGAGCCGAAGGCAGATGCTTAACTGACTGAGCCACCCAGGCACCTCTGGATATTTTCTTATCTATCTTTCAGTTCTTTAATTCTCTCTTCAGCTGTCTCTCACATTCTAGTAAGCCCAATAATTGGGGTTTTAAATTTTTCATAATCTATTTTTATTTCTATAAGTTTTATTTTGTTCTTTTCAAATCTTATATGTTATAGCCTGTGACTGATTCTTTAATGGATAGTTGTTTTTTTTTTTTTATTCATTTGAGACAGAGACAGAGATAGAGCATGAGCAGTGGGAGAGGCAGAGGGAGAGGGAGAAGCAGACTCCCCGCTGAGCCAGGAGCCCAATGTGGGGCTCGATCCCAGGACCCTGGCATCATGACCTGAGCCGAAGGCAGATGCTTAACCATCTAAGCCACACAGGCACCCCATGGATAGTTTTAATATCTGAAATTTTTTGTATTCTGTTACTTCTGTTCATTATTATTCATTGTGTTTTGTTTCCTTAGACTGTGATTGGCTCACAGGAAGTTGCACAAGTGGTACAAAGAATCCCATTTACTCTTCACCCAGTTTCCCTCATTGGTGACATCTTATACAGCTATGTAGAGTATCAACTAGAAAATTAACATTGGTGTAATACTGTTTACTATACACCTTACTCAGTGTTTATACTTTTTTAAACTTGTATTCATTTATGTATTTGTGTGTATATGTATAGTTCTGTGCAAACTTTATCCCACCAGTAGATTTGTGTAACCACCACCATAGTTAAGACACAGAACTGTGTTCCATTACCACAAAAGAATCTCCTTGTGCTGTCTCCTTATGTTTATATTCTCCACTAACCCCTTGCCCTGGTCCTGTGATGCTTTTAAGAAGATTCTTAAAAATATATAAATTTATCCAGTTTTTTGTTTGTTTGTTTGTTTTAGGTAGGAAGGAGTTAGTGTCCATCAGCAGTTTTCAGAGTGTCATCCCTAGACCAATAACATCACCATCCTTGAAAGAACTTATAGAAATGCAGATTCTCAGGCTCTACTCCAGACCTATTGAATCAGAAACTCCTGGGATGGGTCCTAGTAATTGTTCTTTAATGAGCTCTCAAGCTAAAGATTGATAACTACTAACCTAAATACCCTGGTTTGTCAGTTTTGGGATCTTTCCTTCATTTTTACTGCTACCTTTTTAGTCTAAGCTCTCATTGTCACCTATATTGCTTTTTGCAACCATCTCCTTATCAGTTATGTCATCCTTATCCCATGCTCTGTATAGCAATATAAATGATATCTTAAAACATAAATTGGATCATGTTACTACTTAAAACCTATCTGGAGTTTCTTATTGCTGGTAGAATAAAATCAAACTCCTTACCATGACCTGTAAGCCCCTAACATGATCATGCCTCTGCTTAACTGCACCCCCATCCGTACTACTCTTACCCTTCACTTTAGTGTAGTGGTCTCCTTTTGGTTCTGCTAATATGCCAGCCCCATTCTGTATTTGTCTTTCTCCAGCTCTCTTGGTTCCATCTTGTTTTTAAAGATCCCAGGTCAGGCATCATCTCTCCTGTGAGGCCTTCTCTCTATTTATTCCCACTCACTTCACCTGGTTCATTTTCTTCAGACAAGTTGTTACCTTGTTTCTTTGTTTATCCCTCCGCCCTCCACTGGAATATAACCATGAGAATAGGGACTCTGTGTTTTGTTTGTTGATTAGTGCTTACCACCTGGAACAGTGCCTGGCACCGGGTAGATACTCAGGAAAGTTTTGTGTTCTTTTAATGAGTAAATTAACTTTTTTCCTTTGCTATCCAGTCATCATATGATCACATGGAGATATGAAACCTAAAATTTTAAATTATATTCTCTAACAATTTTAATTGGTATTTTTTTTCATTTCTGGAGATTTTGAGATTTTTCTTTTTCATTTATTAAAATAAGACTTTTAGCAAAGGCATACACAATGAAAACAATGGCAGAAAAGATTATTGATATAACTTAATAAGCCCATTTGAAACAAATAAATGTTTTATTAGGTACACTTATAGAAAGTTTTAAAAATTGGACATTTCTTAAGATGGTACAAAGAATACTGTCTAGTGGCTAATTTATTTTCCTTAACAGGTTGTGTCGCTTAAAAAAGAAAGCACAGGCAGAAGCAAATGCCACAGCTATCAGTAATCTGTTGCCATTTATGGAATATGAAGTGCATACTCAGCTAATGAATAAACTAAAACTCAAAGGAATGAATGCTTTATTTGGACTGAGAATTCAGATCACAGTGGGTGAAAATATGTTGATGGGCTTAGCGGTAAGTTTAGATGTTTTGGTTTTGTTTTGTGATTCCTGTAGTTGTAATAGATTCTGTTTTGTGTGATTCAAAGAGTCTTTTAAAAGAACTTATTTAAAGAAACTGGCATTAAGATCTTTAAGGGTTGGGGACATTATAAGAAATAAAAATCTGGTGATAGGCTTTTAAATATTTTATTTTTACAATTATTTATGAATTATTTAAAATTCAACTAATAAAATTATATAGAATTTATTTATATTTATATTATTATATTTTTATATTCTGACCATAATCTCAATAGTCAGATTTCTAAAAATTATCATATGTAGCTTGTTTAGTAAGTTGGTCATCATTGTTCTGGACTTTATAATTTTTTATGCATTGCTAAAACATGTTTTCTCCTCAGCACTGTTGACATCTGGGACTGGAAAACTCTTCGTTGTAGGGGGCCGTCTTGTTCATTGTAGAATGTTTAGCAGCCACCCTGGCCTATGCCCACTAGATGCTATAATGGCTTCCCTTCAGTGTGACAAGCAAAAATGTTTCCATACATTACCAGATGTCCCTTAGGGTGCAGAATCACTCCTGAGGGGGAGGACCACTATGCTAAAATAATCTTTAGTTGTATGGAGAAAATAAAGCAATACATATGAAACACTGCCTACTGCTGGATAGAGAATTAAGTTTCACCATAAATGTGCACCTGTGGTCAACAGTGGAATGTGCAATTAAGTATGTGTTTCTTTTCTTTTCTTTTTTTTTTTTTTTAAAGTATGTTTTTCTTAAGTGTTGATAAATTGTGAGGCAGTGGAGGGGTGCTGGGTGGCTCAGTGGGTTAAGCGTCCGACTCTTGATCTCGGCTCAGGTCTTGATGTCAGCAGGGTTGTGAGTTTGAGCCAGCACTGGGCTCTATCCTGGGCATGGAGCCTACTTAAAAAAATAGAAGAAGAAAAATTGTGAGGGAGTGGAAAGCTCTTTATCTCAGCCTTATGTTCACCTTGGCTTCTATAGTAGAAAAGAAGTTCTGACTAGAAAGTTGTCAGTGGGGAAACAAGAGTTGTCTTTATAAGTCATCTGAGACCCAGAGAACTAGGTGCTTGCAAAATACATATTGATCAGGTAGAAACTGATTAACAGTATTTATGGAAATCCTCTCCTATTTTAGACACTTTGCTAGCTAGAATCTTTATCTGTGACACTGGCACTTTTCAAATTGGAATTCTCTGCCATCTTTCTGAGATGCATAAAAATTTAAAGAAATTTATAGAACTTGGATTTTTTTTTCTCCGTATGAGTTTGTAGATAAAATGCTAAACTATTTCCTGTTCATACATTTACAAATATGTATATTTCTGTAGGTAGGGGATAATTGTGTGGTGATGATAAACAAATCAAGTAGTCACAATTTTTTAACAAGAGAAATTTGCAATATTAATGAAAGTAATCTGATTTATATTAAAATGTTTGATATCTAGATTAACTTGTGAAGAAAGTGTTCATTATAATTCATTCATTTAAAACTCGCATGCTTAGCAATTATTACAAATGTATAATTTGGGCTTAATACAAAACTGTAGTTATTGGTGGGTGTCTGTGAGAACTAAGAGCTTGATTCAGATTCAAAGATTTAAAAAGCATTGTGCCAACTATATCAAATACTTCTGATGGTTGAGCCCCAGGAAACTGTTTTTTCAATGCAATTTATTTTTTACAATCATAAGGTAAAAATTTAAAAGTGCTGTTGGGTATGCAGTGAAAAGTAAATCCTTCTTTCATTGCTGATCCACCTACCTACCCAGGATTCTTGCCAGAAGCAACCAATTCCTGTTACCAGTTACGTGTTTCTGTGCTCTTTCAACATATGTCCAGTACGTGTACTGATGCTAATTATCTTTTTCCTGTAAGGCAAAGACAGCTTTCCTAAATATGAAAACTTAAGGACTATTATTCTTTAGCTATTTTTTCTGATTATTTCCCCCATTATTTTTACAAGTCGGCCACAGGTGTGTATTTAGCAGCTTTACCAACGCCTGGTGGCATTCAGATTGCTGGGAAGACTCCTAATGATGGCTCCTATGAACAGCATATATCGCATATGCAAAAGAAGATAAATGACACAATTGCTAAAAATAAAGAATTATATGAAATCAATCCTCCAGTAAGTAAAATAAATCTACATTGTGAATATGTAAGTTACTGTCTAGGGGTTAGTTTATTTTGGGGTTATCTTATTTTGGACATAAAATACTTCTTTTTCACTGTTGAGAATTGTTCTCCTCATTACTCATTCATTTCACCTCCCTTTACAATCATGATCAAATGTCTCCTTTTAGGGAGCTGACTCTGACTACCTTATTTGAAAATTGTATTCTCCCATCAATTTTTGATACTCCCTATCCCCCTTCTGTGTTTTATTGTTTTTTGTTTCTCTTATCTGTGTGTGTGTAAGCACAAAGAAGTATGTTTTTGATTTTTGTAATTGCTTGTTACTCCTAGTGGAATGAAGCTCCCCTGGGGTTGTATTCCTGAGGCCCCGAACAGTTTTCCTAGTAGTAGCCTCTTGATAAATATTGCTGAATGATTAAATAAATATTTAAATGTTCATTTTTAGTAAAAGATTGCTTTTCTATATGATTAAAATGTGAAAGAATACACCATTTTTCAGTTTTAGCTTCTTTCTTGGGATTTCCCTACCAGTCACTTCCATAGTCAGTCTTTGATACCAGATTTATAGTAGGTACCACAGTGTTGGGGTGCCTTATAGCCAGAGTCTGAATTGAAGGAAAGAAGTGTTGGAGTTAGAATGAATCTATTTGTTTCTTATGAGTCTCTGATAATGAAATACTTCTGTAAAAGGAAAGTGTTTGGGTAACATTATTGTTATTATTTGATTTCATACACATTTTGGTTGGTTGTCTGGGACAGTACCTCTGCATTCTACCTTCAGACTTACAGCTTTGTAGCAGAGTTAAGCTGAGAGGAATTTTAAAGATGTGACAGAGCTACACTCTTAAGTGTGGTAGACAGTGGTCACATGTGGCTATAGGGCACTTGGTATGTGTCTGGTCTGAATTGAGAGGTGCTATCAGTATAAAATACACAACTAGATTTTGAAGACTTAGTATGAAAAAGAATGTAAATTATCTCGAGTATTTTTAATTTTGATTGCATGTTGAAAATGTAATCTTTTGGATATAGTGAATTAAATAAAATATTTTATTAACATTGATTTTGTTTCTTTTTGATTTTATTACCTATGAGGCTAGCTTTATATTTCTATTGAACAGTGCTGATATAGAGCTTCTTTAAATTCACTAAGAAAGTTGGTGTGTTAATATATTAATGCTTAAATAGCTATTGTAAAAGCTTTCCACACAACACTACTGACTACTTGTTTGCAGTACATGATTTTTCTTTTATAATTATGTTTTGATATTTGAACATTTACAAATCGCATTTATGCCTGTTGGGGAGAATGATTTGCAAAGCTTTATGTTAGGGCTCCATGATACAAGCTGAACTCTCTTGCACCAGTATTTATCAACTGTGTACTTCTGTGCTGACCTCCGCAGGAAGAATTGACCCTCTCCTTCATTATATTCCTATTGTATCTGTATGTGCTTCTGTCATCGGGCCTGTTCCATATTATTGCACTTAGTTTTTACATGTCTGTCTGTCTTTAATATGAGCCTTTTAAAGTCAGACATATTTAGAGAATGTGAATTAAATTCATCTATTCAATAAATATTTATCGAACTTCTGTTTTACTAGTACATTTTAGAGGAGGGAATAAATCTGTTATGATTTCAGCATATCTGGATTTCTTGTGTTGAATATGACTGTATTTCCACAAAAAGACTAATCGATTCATGAATTTTCTAATATGTCTCTCCTTATTTCACATACTGAATGCATTATCTCTTTCAGCATAACATCTCAGAATTTGTTTGACAAAGTCATTGTAGTAGGCCACTACACATACTACAATTTTGACTTTTCTGTTTCTAAAACAATGTATGCCCACCCTGAACATGTGGATCAGTGTGTTTCTTCTCTTAGGAAGGTAGCTCCAGCTGAAGTGAATGTACTCGTTTGATTTTTTTCTCAACACTGAAAAATCTTTCTAATGTGGAGTAGTACCACTTAAATGGAGATAATTCAGTCAACCAAAGGTATCAAAAGGTGCAAAACTTTTAGAATAATAAATGGTACCAGTGGTGAAACTTTGTTAAGAATCTAAGATATATTAAATAACAGATAGTTGCTTTTATTAGGTCCATAATACAATGAACAGAAGCATAACCAAATCTTAAACTACTAAAAAATTATAAAAAGAAAGATGTTATCTAGTGGGAAGAACATTGCACTGGATAGGTTTGTCACTTAAACTAGTTTTCAAGCCCAGGCAAACTGCTTTACCTCTGAACTGTAGCTCTTTCTCATTTTGTAGTCATTATAATAGGCACCCTGTCAGAATTATACAGGGCAAGTTAATTTGGGGTACAAATAAGAGAAACAAATGTGAAATTACTTTATAGATCGCTGTTATGAAATTGTGGTAGTCTTATGTAAGGTATGCACTAGCAATGAACATTTAAAACTGCATTTTTGAAAAAAATTTTCTTATATTCCTTGTTTCTTTAAAAAACATAGCTCTCTTATCCCAACAATAGGCTATGCATTTTGCATTTGTGCTCACATATTCACATTCTGATAATCCTGTAGCCAACAGATATTTAGAATCTCTGGTTGGCTCTGATCTTTGGCTGTGTAGTAGGTGAAAGCTTACAGACCCATATAGGGTGGCACCATACACTGACCTCATAAAGATCATTGTTGTAGCTACCAAAGTTTATTTAGCTTAATAATTTGCACAGCAAATACCTGCATAATAGATGTATTATGTATACATGCACACATTTATCATATTCCTCATTTTATTATGTGGAGCTTTGAAAAATTACCACTGGATAAGAAAAGATATAAAAGTTTAGAATCCTTTTCGGAGACTACATTTTTAATTATTTCAGGGTTGGGGTACCTGGGTGGCTCAGTCGTTAAGCGTCTGCCTTTGGCTCAGGTCATGGTCCCAGGGTCCTGGGATCGAGCCCCGCATTGGGCTCCCTGCTCCACGGGAAGCCTGCTTCTCCCTCTCCCTCTCCCCCTGCTTGTGTTCCCTCTCTCACTGTCTCTCTCTCTCTGTCAAATAAATAAATAAAATATTTAAAAAAAATAATTGGGGCGCCTGGGTGGCTCAGTCAGTTAAGCATCTGCCTTCGGCTCAGGTCATGATCCCAGGGTCCTGGGATCGAGCCCCGCATCGAGCTCCTTGCTCGGCGGGGAGCCTGCTTCTCCCTCTCTGTCTGCGTGTCACTCCCCCCTGCTTGTGCTCTCTCACTCTCTCTGTCAAATAAATAAATCTTTAAAAAAATAATAAAATAATTATTTCTGGGCTGTTCGGTCTTTTAAATGCTGAGTAGAAAATACCTTCTGAGCTGGAAGGGCTGCCAATTCCCTACTCGTTGTGGTGTCTGCTCATTACACTAGAGGTCAGTATTGCCTTGCCATCTGTGGCAGTCCTATACGTTAATGGATTAGTGTATCAAGGCTGCTATTATTGGTAAGAGGAAATATCCATGTACTTTATAAAAGGCTAATTAGTTATAAAAGTTATAATTAAATATAGGCTGTGAATATATTTTACAGACTTTTTCTCTACAGATATTTATTAATATAAAAATTTAAAACCAAACTGAAGTGTACAAGTATTGAATCATGTTGTATATCTGAAATTAATATAATATTATATGTCCATTATACTTTAGTAAAAGGAAAAAAAGACTGCAGTTTACAAAATAACCCCCAAACTGAAAAAGACAGTCTTATATGATATAAAGCAATTGTATTTCTTTTAGGATATATCTGAAGAGATTATAGGATCACCCATCCCAGAACCTAGGCAACGCTCAAGACTTTTAAGATCTCAGTCAGAAAGCTCTGATGAAGTTACAGAATTGGACCTTTCACATGGGAAAAAAGATGCTTTTGTTTTGGAGGTATTATTGCATTAGAGTAATTTCTTAAAAGTTTTTGGAAGATAAGATTTTCATTGTTACAATCAGATCCTAAATTGATGTGGTATGATTTTGTATTATTACAACTGCTATAAATATATAAAAATTTTATTATAGAAATTACAACAAATTTGAAAATACTAGAAGCTGGTATTATTTTTTTTGATCAACACCAGGTACAATAATGCAGGTAGTTCTGGAAAAATTAATGTATGGGTTGAAATAAAATTAAAATAATGCTAAGCTTAAAAATAATGCTAAATTCCTAGAGCTATTTTTGTAAACTTTAATGAATTTAATTAAATTAAAATGCTGTTCTTTGACTTCCTATGTCTACTTGCTTCATGTGTTATAACATGTTAGTATAATTGTATCCTTTTACATGTGGTATAACAGCACTACGAATTCTGAGTGTAGGGTTTTCTTACTGAATTCAGAAGGTATAGTTGAACTTCCATTATAAAAATACACTCAGAACTTTCCTGGAGAATAAATGTGGCATGGAAGATGTATGGAGCCTCCTACCTCACAAATCTGCTCCCTCTGCCCTGCCCTGTAGATAGTTAGCTTTGATGGAGATAGATTATCTTCCTTTGGTATTAAGGAAAGGAAAACAAATGAGGATACTCAGAAATGTTCTGGTAGGTTCTGGTTGAGAGAAAAAATCAGATGCCTTTATTTTAGGAAAGCAGAAAGCACATGGTAGAATTGTATTGGGATGGGATTAGAAGTTTGAAGAATCTATAACAGTGCCCATGATCGTGATCAGGTTGTTAGCCATGGGAGATGCACAAGACTTAACTGAGATGAGAGTGTTAATTTGTAGAAAACTCAGACTGTATGGATGTGTGCCTGTTTTCTACAGTCTGAGAATGAAAAAAAAATGGAGGTTGGTAAAAGAATATGTCAGACTGAGGAGGTAGAAGGTTCTAGGGTACTCTTTGGGGTAGTGCCACTTAAAGTGTGCTGTGACTACCTACAGCATCAGCAGCCATCTGGAATCTTGTAAGAAATGCAAATTCTGGAGCCCTTGCTTCAGACCTTGTAAATGAAAATTTCAAGGTAGGTCCCAGGAATCTGTTTAACAAACTCTCCAGTGATTCTTAGCATTCTAGAATATTATTGATCTTTATGGTCCTGGATCCTGGCTAAGCAGAGAATGAAGGTGCTTCAGATCTGGACAGAAGGCTGAGAACAGAGGCAGATTCAGTAAGAGAAGGAACAGACAGACAGGACATTGTAGTTGGATCTGCGTGTGGAATGTTTTTGGGAATAGTGGGTTGAGGTATGGCCATGACTGTGGGTAACTAAAGTTAAAAATGGTTCTTAAAGTCTCAAGGGTAATGTGAAGGGACGCTTGAAGTGTGTGAGAGTCAGTTAGACTCCCGATGTACAGATGAATGTCAGTATATGTCTAGTTGGATATTTTCACTATTTATTATTCACAATGGAATACTGTGATACAAGAAAAATAGGATTTGGGTTTTTTGGTTTTTTTTTTAGATGTGCCTTTAAATTTATCCCTATGTAATTCAGTTTTAAAGCAGTTTTGTATTTAAGTCAAAAGATCTTTTTTTTTTTAATTGCACTTTATTAACTTATACAAGTAGAGATGATAATTGCTTATGGTGTCTTTGTAAGCCTTTTGAAACATGTCCTCATAAAGGCTTGAGAAAAGGCTCTTTTTTTTTTAACTGAATATACATTATAATGTGAAATATTAGAAGTATTTATAATAATTGTGGAGAAATTTATAGATATTAGAACTTTTTTTCAAGTTTTGTTTTTTAATTTAGGGAAAAATGGCTCTGCCTTGACTCTGATGTTTTCTTTTTAGTAAATAATAAAAACAATGATTTTTTTAAAATTTGAAATTATACATTTAATACATAATAGTTCTAATATTTTTATTTTCAGATTGATGACACAGATGCTATGGAAGATGTACATTCTCTGCTTACTGATGTTCCTCCTCCTTCAGGTGAACAGAAAAAACTTACTTTTGAGATGAGACTAGTTTTATATATCAATATTTTAGTTCATAAATTATTATAGTACTAACTTTATTTTAAAGGCTTTATCAGTGTCACATCCTGTCATGTACTTTGCTGCTCCAAGGCTAAAAACCATAGTTTAAAAATATTTATGTTAGTGGTCAGGGGTGGGAGGGATGGGGTGGCTGGGGATAGACATTGGGGAGGGTATGTGCTATGGTGAGCGCTGTGAATTGTGTAAGACTGTTGAATCTCAGACCTGTACCTCTGAAACAAATAATACATTATATGTTAAAAGAAAAAAAAAAAAAAAAAAGAAGATAGCAGGAAGGGAAAAATGAAGGGGGTAATTGGAGGGGGAGATGAACCATAGAGACTGTAGACTCTGAGAAACAAACTGAGGGTTCTAGCGGGGAGGGGGTTGGGGGGATGGGTTGGTCTGGTGATGGGTAATAAGGGGGGTTACGTATTGAATGGAGCACTGGGTGTTATATGCAAACAATGAATTGTGGAACACTACATCAAAAACTAATGATGTAATGTATGGTGATTAACATAACATAATAAAATAAAATTAAAAAATATATTTATGTTAGAACTTAGGTGAACTGAGGGGGCGCCTGGCTGGCTCAGTAGAGCATGTGACTCTTGATCTTGGGATTGTAATTTTGAGCCCCATGTTAGGTGTAGAGATCACTAAAAACTAAAATCTTAAAAAAAAAAGTAGGTGAACTAGATTTTTTTTTTTTTTTAAAGATTTATTTTATTTATTTGAGAGAGAGAGCTCACCTGCACGAGCAGGAGGAGGGGCAGAGAGGGAAAGGGAGAGAATCTCAAGCAGACTTCCCACTGAGCACAGAGCCTGTGGGGCTTGATCTCCCAGGACCCTGAGATCATGACCAGAGCTGAAATCAAGAATCAGATGCTTAACTGACTTGAGCCACCCAGGTGCTCCTAGGTGAACTGATTTTTAATCCTTTTATGTTCATACATTTAAAAAAAACCCAAACTGATAATTTGTTAAGATGGTCTAAAGCTTACTGAAGGTGTAGTGTTTTAGAAAAAAAAGAATAAATAGATCTTATAGTTAGAATTCCATGTAATAAGTGAAAAATATTATTCTTTAACATAAAAATAGATGAAATATTATCAAATAGTTTAACTATGATTTATTTTGACAGGCTTTTATAGTTGTAATACAGAAATTATGCCTGGTATAAATAACTGGACATCTGAAATACAGGTAAACCTTTCATAATTTTAAGCAAATACAACATAATGTGATTTTAGCAAGTTCCTTCTTAATATGTTTTCTCTTTGACCACCTATTGCAACTAAAATGTTAGCCTTTTTCATACCACATTATTTATTATTACTCATTATTTGGCAGTTTTATCAACTGTTACAGTATTTAGTTAAAAATAATAAAATGACATGCTATTATATCTCCCCATATTTAGATGTTCACATCAGTAAGAGTAATCCGATTAAGCAGCCTTAACCTGACTAATCAAGCCCTTAATAAGAACTTTAATGATCTCTGTGAAAATTTGCTCAAGGTAGGAACCTTTTGACTAACTATATTTTAGTTAAATCTCCTAAGAATTATGAAATTAAAAAAGTGTGTATATTATCTGGAGTATCTTACACAGTTGTGGGTTGAATGATTTTTATTTACATATTGTATTAATCTTAACTCTCTCCACTGGTAAAATGCTAAAGCTGTCCTCTCCATCTTAATAAGCCACACTATTAAATACATTTTAAGTTATTTCATAATTTTAAGCTTCATAGAAATCTATTGTATATGTGTAAATGAAAAATTTTTTCTTAGATTTTTATGACTTATTGATAAATATGATTAAATCTATTGTCTGCTTAAATATTTAAAATAATGTAAGAATACACAAAATAGAAATGGACCAGCCTTGTTTTAATCTTTTAAACTTTTCTTTTGCCATGATATAATGCTCAGTGAAAAATCAGTTTTGAAAAATTTTTAGGGGCGCCTGGGTGGCTCAGTTGGTTAAGCGTCTGCCTTCGGCTCAGGTCATGATCCCAGTGTCCTGGGATTAAGCCCCGCATCGGGCTTCCTGGAACTCCGCGGGAAGCCTGCTTCTCCCTCTCCCACTCCCCCTACTTGTGTTCCCTCTCTCGCTGTGTCTCTCTCTGTCAAATAAATAAATAAAATCTTTAAAAAAAATTTTTTTTTTTTAAATTAAAAGAAGTGATATTACTAATATTTTCTGTTATGTAGAGCCTGTATTTTAAACTGCGGTCTATGATCCCCTGCTGCCTTTGCCATGTAAATTTTACAGTATCTCTGCCTGAAGATGAATTAATACAGGTAATTAAGATTCAGTTTATTATTAAAGAAGATTTCTAGCTTTTATCTGATGTTTTAATATTATAAATCTGCCATAATTGAATAAATATAAAGGATTTTACTTCAAAATATTTTTAAACACACTAGAATGAATCAGACCACATATGTTTTATTTTTCTGAACTCTGAATTATCCAAAGGTAGAATCACATTTCTAGCATATATACAATAGGATGTATTCTTATGTGGGATTTCTTCAGTCTCCATATTTTAGAGAAGGTACTTGAGCTCTTTCTGGAATATCTAGGGTTAGGTATATGTGTCAGACTCAGTTGTAGTCTAAATATCTGCGGATATCTGTAATTCTGGTTGAGAATTTTAACTAGCAAAAGCAGATTAGCCAGTTAATATAAATTGTTCCATTGTACTGAAGATTTTTGAGAAACTTATTTTGTCAGTGATTATTTTGCTAATCAAATTGTTTCTGTAATTCTAGGTTACAGTCACAGCAGTTGCAATAACTTTTGACAAAAATCAGGCTTTACAGACCACAAAAACACATGTTGAAAAGTCACTGCAAAGAGGTAAACCTGTGATGGATGGGAGCATAGTTAATGTTTATCTACAGTTATAGTTAAGTGAAAAAGGTAGATTAAATAAATGACTTGTTTCTTGAAGAAGAGATACTGTCACTTTTTCTGTTTATCTTTTTCAAGATAACTTTGTGGTTGACTTGGTATTTTTCACACGTGAATAGGTGGTTGACTGGTGTTTATTTACATAGAGAATGCTGCTATTTTTTAGACTTAGATTATAACATATTCTGCAGTAATTTAGAGGTTTCTGTCCTAGGATCTCTGGGGAGGTCTTCAAGGCATCTGAGAACCTACTGATGTAGTAAGCACCACGTATTTTTCTTAGGAAAGGTCCTCAGAGTTGTCCTTTATCCAGTAAAAATCTAGGAAGTACCATTTTTAATATATCCCAGAGAAACTCAAATTGTTAAAAATTGCTATGTGTTCTGAAAAAAGGAGAGGGAAATAGTATGCTTTCTAAAATTTAGGTACGTAGCAGCTAAATAAAATATTCACGATTAGTCTAAAATTTTTATAGTTGATTACATTCTATATGTAAAGCATTGAATTAATGTTAAATAGAGATGTATTAAACAATTACGTTCAGATATTTATCAAAGAAGATAGAAAATAGCTGGTTTAAGTATCATAGAACCAGTATGGTACAAAGAATAGGATAATAATAGTTGTTACTGAGTTCTTATTATTTGGAAGGCATTGTGCTAAGAGATTTATACTTAGTATATTTTTTCGAAGACTCACTACAGTCCTAGCAGGAAAGATAGCATCTTTCATCATCGTGCAGGTGAAGAATGGGTCTCCATGGGAGAAACCAAGAAGAAAATAACCAGAATAAATTGGATTTGGGGAAATATATATTTTATCCCAGATTCTTAATTTAAAAAAATTAATACTAGATCATTACTAAATAACCAGTGTTTTTCTTGCCTCTCAAGCCTCTACAGATAATGAAGAACTTCTGCAGTTTCCACTGGAGCTCTGTTCAGATTCACTTCCTTCTCATCCTTTTCCACCAGCTAAAGGTTGGTTAAGTGAGGGAAATGCAAACACAAATCCTAGTTTCTAGTTACTTTTACTTCTTCATCGTAGGCAGTTTTACTTAATCTTGAGATGAAGATTTATTCTTCATTCCCTCATTGTCTGTTTCTTCATGTTCATACAGGGGAGAGACTAATAATTCCTTTTATTTTAATTTCTCAGGTAATCTTATCATAAATTATTAAGGTTTAAGGAGCATCATGTGATGTTCCATTCTTATACTTCAAATGTATTAAAATTTTATTTTCAGAGATCTGGATTTCCCAAAGTAACTATTCACACGTGATATATTGATATTTATATCTGGTAAGGTTTTTCCAGCCACAATAGAAATTTTACAAAAATTTTTAGATTTTTATAGACAACAAAATACTGATTTTCTTCAGAAGAAATGTGGAGAGAGGTTTGGGTTTGGGTAGTATAAGTGAGAAAGGGATGAGCTGTCTTTTGAGTGTCTTGGTTATTATTGAGGAACATTGTTATGTACTTAAAAGATACTGCCATATTTTCAAATGCAAAATGATAGTCTCTTAACTTAATAGCAGTTAAATCTACCTAGATCTGTACTAATGGGAGGTAGTATTTTCTATTTCTCTTCTGATTTCAGGGCAATTTTTATTATACGAATTTTCAGAATTACTATACCTTATTTTGTAGCATTAGTTATGATACAGAATAGTTTTATATTCACATTGCATCTATGTCAATAGAATCTTTACTAAATTAGTGCAAAGCCTGTTTATGTATGTAGGTAAATAGATCTTGTCTCGTATTTTGAAAATGAAAAGATAAGCTACTTTCAGATTCTGAACTTTCTAACATGGTAACTGTGGTCTTCTTTCTTTTTTTATCTAAACTAAAATTCTAATTTAGAACTCGATAGAGAATTTTAGCATAATTGAACTCCTTGAAAGAACAGAGAGGAAAAAATCAAATCCAAAGATAATTTGAGTTCAGATTTATAAATTAAATACAGCTTCCAGAACAAAAAGAACTGTGAAGAATCTTCCTTAGAACTGGGTAGACAGAATTTTTTTAAAAAACACCTACTTTATACAGAAACTTGTATTTAACGTAAGGTTAATTCCAAATCAGTTTTAGGTGTCGTTTCATTTGTCCTTACCCTGCAATGGAAGGGGTGCAATGTGGAGGGGGGGGACCAAAACCAAAAATCTAATCAGCAACAACAAAAAGATTTGATCAGTTGCTAATATATAGGTATATATATTTATGCAGATCGGGTCCCTATTAGCTCACTTTTACCTTGTTAATCATTACTGATTTCTGCAGAAGATTGGATTTAAATTCTGTAAATTTGTCATATCTACATTGATACCTTGCAGTTTCTGCATTAGCTTTCAAAATGTTTTCAAAGGTCATTAGAATTCGTGCTTGTGGGTCATTAGTCTATTTTGTACAAATGATACTCTGAACTGAAGAACAACAAAAGAAGAATTTGAGTAGAGTAAGTCCTATCTGAGCAGTACTTAAAATATTGCAATTTATTTTGTAGTGTGGAGAGGGGCCATAAAGTGGAGTAATAAAGTAGCAGACCTCGATTCTCTTCTCAGTTCTGCTACTGATAGTGTGAGAACTTGGCCCAGGAACCTCTAATAAGCCAGTTAAGCCTCAGTTCCTCATCTGTAAAGTGTGAAAAGATTAAGATTCTCTCTACCCTTTAAAATTCTGATTCCTTGGGTTTCTGTGGTTTATGGTTTTTCAATAATTAACATGTTTCTATTATTAAAAACAAATCAAAAGCCAATTAATCAAAATCAAAAGCTAGTGTTACATTCAAAATTTCCAAATAGCTTCAAATCTGTTAAACCAGTAATTTTTAAACTCTGCTTCTCCAAAAGGCAGGGTGGGAAGGGAGCTGAGGGGAGAGTGGAGGAGTGAGAGGATGGGTCTCTGGACCCCCTTCCTACCCTTGAAATAGAGCAGCTTTGATTCAGTATGCTTTTATTTATTGATTTTCTGTATGTGATTTTGTTGTAAGACAGAGTTTCAAAAAGTTTGAAAACCACTGAATCAGATCGTGCTGCCATCATCATCATTTTCATAGTGTTCAATAGCATTACATCTAATACTAATATATATAAAACTTTTTTACTAAGTATTAACTGCAAAACTTACGTGCTTTTCCTTGAATATTACATTTTAAAATCATCAGTAAACACTAAATAGTTTACCTGTACCTTTTTATAAATAGTTGTGTAAATTGTAGTTTACATTGCATGCTTATTTACTGTCTTTGCTTTCTCAAGTCTTTTCAGGAGGACATGGGCTATCCTAAATATACTTGAAAAAGTTATCACAAAGTATTTTGGAAGATTTGAGGATAGGGGTTTTGAAAAGGTCTGAAAAATGTAATAGAGTGTAATATATGAATGTAGTAATTGAGTATTGTAACATGAAAGGTTTTAAATAGAGAATAGAAATATGTGGCAAAAGTTAAGCTTGGCAATTTAGAAGTAACAAGCAAGAGAGGAAGGTAAGGGTGCTAGGAATAAATGCTCAAAAAATTTCTCTATTTTCTTATATGCAACCACAAGAGGCTTAAAAGTTAACTGCTAATATTGATAAGTAAATAAATGTATAGTTTTTATGGTTTTGTTAGGTCAGTTCGCTAAGCTGATGGAGCTTTTTCCTTTTTTTTTAAATTCTGAAAACTTTGAATCCTAATTTATTTTTCACGTTCTTATTACAAATTTGGTGATTTATTAAAATTTTTCTTTTATGTTGACAGTAGTTTCAAGAGCTAAGCACAGTATATATTAATACTTCCATCTTTTAACTTGTAGATAAACCTTTCTGATAATTATCTTTTTATGTTACTGAAGATGAGTGAATATTATGTGAAGAAAAGATGCTTCAGTTACATGTATTCTAATTCACTGTGTAGAGTAAGCCTGGGCCTGAATTGTCCATCCATGTTCAATTTTTTCCTTTCATCTTTGGTTATATTTAGTTTCGTTTCCCAAGGTAACAAGATAGTTTGATGTTGGTTTGGTTACCTTGCTCTAAGTATTTGATTTTTCTGATTTGAAATATTAAAAGGTGCTGAGCCTGAGTAATTTCTTCCAGGAAATTATCATGTGAAGGTCATCAAAATTCTTGATGAATACTAAGGAAAATAGATGATTGGCATCAATGTAAATTACTTATATGAGGCTGTATTATGAGAAAAAGGAGGTATAACAAACTTTTTACACCACTCCCATGATGTTTTTTCCTCATCATTAATGTCTGTACTTTAGTTTTCTGAATATTTACTACTTAACTCTGAAATGGTTTTAAGAGACTTTAAAAAAAAATGTTATCAAGGGATAGAGCAAATACAGTGAAAATGGAGAATCTGAGTGACAGTAAGTAATCTGGGTGAAAAGTAAAAAAAAAATAAGATTTGTTTTACAGACTGTAGTTGATCTCAAAAATTTCATATGCATGTAGTTTTTATAGAAGGTTAGCATATTATTTTTGATACATGTCTAAAGACCTAAATCTCAATATCTTAGATACCATACTGTGGGGCTTAAGATCTTAGATAAATGTGTGTGAATCATGTACCACTATAAATATTTCAAGTACTTTATAAGTTCAATCTATAATAGGATAATAGTTTTTTAAAATTAAAATTCTGAGAGTTTAAGCCTTTAAAAAGGTTTAATTAAGTCAATTTAGTTTTTATATACTGTTGGGTGAAACTGTATAGAAGAAAAGTCTTTTATACCAACTTTGTTCCTGCTTTCGTTTTGCTTTATGCTGGAGTGATAGCCTCACGTTCGATGGCATAATAGGCTGGCAGGAGTACTCTTTTCATTAAGCAGCTGCCGATTAATGTGACAAGCATAGGCCAAAATCTGGATTTCAGTATAAAAATAAAACCCTCAATACATTGTACTCCATAATTAGGTATCACATTTGAAGTTTTGTTATCTTTATTTTTATTGAGGCTATAAGGGTTATTTTTTTGTTAAGCCAAATTTGATTCTAAAAGGTAGTTTAATTTTTTAAATTTAATGACTTGCCTTACATTTTTTAAGCTAGTGATTAGAAATATAAACCTATAAAAACTACAAGAGTTAGCTTTTATTTTATCCTGCCAATGAATGGTTCTAAATTCTTAACAACTATTACACAATTCTTTGCACAAACTAAAAATATCTTTATGTATTAACAATTCATTGCATGTCTGTTTTTTCTCTCTTTTTAAAATGTTTTTTATTGGGGCGCCTGGGTGGCTCAGTCGGTTAAGCGTCTGCCTTTGGCTCAGGTCATGGTCCCGGAGTCCCGGGATCGAGCTCCGCATCGGGCCCCCTGCTCAGCGGGAGGCCTGCTTCTCCCTCTCCCACTCCCCCTGCTTGTGTTCCCTCTCTCGCTGTCTCTCTCTCTCTCTGTCAAATAAATAAATAAAATCTTTAAAAAAACAAAACAAAACATAAAATGTATTTTATCATTATGACCAAATGGTAGCAAAAATAAAAAGTGCTGAAGTTCTCCATGTTATTGATGTCCCCAACAATTAGTAAGAAGAAAGGAGAGAGATGCTGAGGGGAAGGAGATTGAAGGGAAAATAAAGTAAGGAGTGGAAAACGTATGAGAAACTTATCCCAGACATGGGAAAGAAGGAAGGAAAGAGAAAATTGATGGAGGAGTAGAGATAAGGAATCTTTGCTTCTTCAAGGCAGCTTGAGTTCAGTGAAATCCAGAGTCTGAGGAAGAGGGAGTAAGCAACAAAGAAAATTGAATTGGGTTACTCACAAAAATTGGCATTATTTGGAAGAGAAAATCTGAAGGGTACGAGGGAGGGGAGAAGTGGATGCCTGGAAACAGAGGCAGGAAAATAGAAGATGGGGATTGAAGAAAAGTGGTTTAGGCTGTTGTACATCTTTAGCTGGAAGCTTTAATGACCCAAATGGAGAAGCTAATTGTGTTTGTCATCTAATGTATGTATTGTGATGGTAGTTGAGTTTTTCCCCTTAGTGGGCTATGCAGATTGAAGCTATTTATATTTTTCTCTATGCTTTAATAATTTTTAGCTATAATATGGCAATTTCATCATCAATCCACCAATATTTGAATACCATTATGGGCAAGGTTTATACACATAATTTAAGTCCGTCATTAAGCCAGATTTTATAGTTATAGGACATAGCTAATCAGTGCATTATAGATTGATGGAAATGCCAAAAGAGACATAAAACCAAATTTTGATCATAATAACTTAAAACTGAGAATGTTTAGGGACCTGGGTGGCTCAGTCAGTTAAGCGTCTGACTCTTGGTTTCGGTTCAGGTCATGATCTCAGGGTCCTGGGATCAAGCCCCATGTTGGGCTTTGCACTCAGTGAGGAGGCTGCTTGAGATTCTTTCCCCCTCCCCCCATACCAGCTCTATCTCTCTAAAATAAATAAAATCTTTTTAAAAAGTTTAAAATACAAAGCCCAAGAATGTTTTATTTTTTAAACTTTTTTAAAGATTTTATTTATTTGAGAGAGAGAAGCAGACTCCCTGCTGAGCAGGGAGCCAGACATGGGGCTCCATCCCAGGACCCCAGGATTGTGAACTGAGCTGAAGGCAGATGCTTAACCCACTGAGGTGCCCCATTTATTTTTAAAAAAAACTTTATTTTAAAAAAGATACTATTTATTTGAGATAGCGCGAGAGAGAGAATGAGCAGGGGGCAGAGGGAGAGAGAAGCAGACTCCCCGCTGAGCAGGGAGCCCAGCTCGGGGCTGGATTCCAGGACCCCTGAGATCACAACCCAAACAGAAGGCAAGCGCGCTTAACCTACTGAGCCACCTAAGTGCGCCCCCCTACCCCCCGCCCCCGAGAATGTTTAAATAACTAAATAAAGTATACATTTTTAAAGACTTCAGATTGCATATGTTTTCTTTTAAGTAGCATCCGTGCGCATCATGGGACTTGAACTCACAACCCCAAGATTAAGAGTTATATGCTGTAGGCACTGAGCCAGCCAGGCCCCCCAGATTACATATATTTTAATCTGCCAGAGAATCTTCAGAAGTTTCAGGAGCTTTTTTTAGTTTTAGTAATTTTCTTAAGATGACCAGATAAGATTATCTCAGATATTTTTTAATTATTCAGAACAAAGATGATCTGTAAATTCTAATGATATAAAGTGAACAGCTTGTCAGAGGAGTTAGTAATCAGCGTAGAGCTTTATCATAGCCAGCTGATACCTTTGTCATTTGTTATGACTATTTAGAAGAATGGAGAAGTCTCAAACGTCAGAAGCACTGGAGCATGTATAATTGAGGGAGGAAGAATCCTTGCCACATTGTTTTCTGTTGGTCATCAATATGCTCATTTCTATTCAACTGCTTTTAACCTAGGTTAGTCCCCCTCCCCACTGATAGGCCTTGTTAAATATTGTTAGAGTATACTAAAAGAATAATAAAATCTTATGTTCTTTTTGCCTTGCTGACTTTCTAGGGTTGTTCATTTATAGATAACAGGGTTATCACCTACTGGTGACTTTTTAATGGAGCAAAATAATCATTTTCTTGTATCCAGTGGGAAAGGAAATTGTAAGAGACGTGGGCTGCTGTGTGGCTTGATTGAGACTTTCTGCAGCAAAATGGGGGGAACCTTACATAAAAAGTGTTTGTCTCAAACTCTTCTACATAGATAAGGCTGACAATGGGCATTAGCTCCTCAACAAAGCCCAAAAGATGTTAGTAAGATTTCTAATCCTGAATATGAAATATGTTGTCTTTTTTTTTTTTTTAGAGATTACATATGGGTTTATTTCTTTTTCACCATAATTACTAGTGTATCAATGAGCCAGACAGCTAATACCTGCAATACCTTCTGTTTTGAGAAGCCTGTTACCTTGGAAGAGCAGAGTGACTGAGAATCTGAGGTCATTAGATACCTGAGGTATTCAAATGTCTGAGGTGCCAATGTTCAGCTGTTCCCAGGACCATCTCATTTTGGGCCTTTTCTCTGAGAGAAAAATTAAGATCCTAGCAAACATGTTAGATGAATCTGCTCTCCTTAAGTGAGATAAAAAAAAAATCATCTATTTTAACCTTTCCCTTAAGCATATCTGCAATTTACAAAGGGAAGAAAGAGAGAGAGAAACAGACTCTTAATTACAGAGAACAATCTGATGGTTACCAGTGGGGAGGGGAGTGAAGGGATGGGTTAAATAGATGATGGGGATTAAGGAGTGCCCTTGTAGTGATGAGCACTGGGTGATGTATGGAACTGTTGAATTACTATGTTGTGTAATTGAAACTAATATAACACTGTATGTTAACTGGAATGAAAATAAAAACTTAAAAAGAATATCTGCAATTTAAAAACTTTTTTTTCAGATATTAATTCAAATACATTCATATGTGGAGGCAGGGAAAAGACCCACTTCTCCACCCTTTGTAAAATTTTTTGGGAAAAGTAATAAATGTGCATGGTGAAAAATTCAAATCTTACCAAAAAATCATACAGTCCAAAATCAAACTCCCTTCTCCATTCATTTCCCTTTTCAAGAGGCAACTACCCTCAATCAGCTTTATTGTCTGTCTTTGCAAAGATATTTTTATTTAAAAAAAAAAAACAAGTATTTTACAAATCATTGTGTACTTTTTTTTCACTTGTTATTTAGGGATGAGAGCAGATACTTTGTACATGTTTAAGCTCTTGTTGTGGACATTTGTCATTAAGTTATACATAGTTGCTACTGGGGAATTCATATTACTCAGATAATACTGAGATATAGAAGACAGTTTCACTTTAGTAATTTTCACATTATTTTTTAGCTTTTGCCCCCTGTTCCCTCATTTTAAAAACTTGCACAGAATTCCTAATGCCCACTCTATTTTATGTAAGTCTGTACTCTCCAAGTCTGTACTGCATAGGACATAGGAGAGTCCTGGGACTCTCCCGGCATTTGTAAGCTTGGGTAAGCATTTGCTGTCCCAGCTTCTGCACTACAGCCTTTTTCAGTGCTGAACTAGCTGTCCCTAGAGATGTGGTAAGCTTCTGAATGTCAGTTCTGTTCTGGTCTCCTTCCTGTAGGTTCCATCTCCTTCCGGGTTCCAAAGCTCCTCAGGATCCTGAATCAGGGAGGACGTTTTCTTGCCTAGATCTTCAGTCTGAGGGCATGATGGTCAGGGCACATCCATAGCATGGTACCCTCACAGTCATTTTGTGGATCCTGCCTAGTGATCCTATTTACTCAACAGCCCAGTATTATAAGAGGAATGACAGTCACTATACACTTTCCAGTATTAGCTAGTTGTCACTTGCTTTATAAAAATGGGAAGAGGGGGGAGTATGAGAGATACTCCCATTGCACCCAATTAGCAGAAACCTGTACAAATCTTATCTTTAAAAGGTATAACTTTTATTAAGAATATTACCAAAAGATTAACACATTAAGCAGAGATAAAAATATGTGTTTACTTAATTTATAAGTTTAAAAAAAAACTGGGTGACTGAAATTATTCTGTTTTTTTTTTTTTTTTTTTTTTTTAGTTATTTCTAACTCAGCAACACTATTCTTTCAGTTATAAAATTCTTTGAAACAAAAATTCAAATATGCCAATGTAGGTAGAGTCTGAACCTTAAAAAATAGATTATGAAGTTTTTTTTATTAGTGCTGTTTAAATTTGTACAATACTTTAAATAGCGATAATAAAAATACAAAATACTAAGGAAAATTCTGGATGCTCCTTTTACAAGGTTACTGGAAAGGGAATGATTCCTGTTTGGTATCTAGTTCTATCTGTGGGGAGCACTTTTTAGTTCTATGATGTCTTGATACCACCAGAGGGAGCTGTTGATAGTGAAGTCCCTGAATGAAGGGGGGTTGGCGAGGGGGAGGGTTATGGCTAGTAAGTAAGCAGTTTGTGTTTATCTGTGAGACATAGGTCATTGCCTGGTCTGTAATTTTTAATCTTATTGGCTCCTCCCCCACACACACACAAACATTTTCCTTCCATGTTTCATTTCAGATTTTCTTCCTAATACATTGATGCTTTTCTCTGCTCAGTTTTCTCACCCTGCTTTCATCCTACTAACATTTGTTACTATGTTTATATTTTCTCATGTCTATAATGTTTCTGAAACTCTTCTTGTGTTACAGTAACAAGTAGTCTTCCTTGGCATGATATTTATTAACTGAGCTAGTTTTCATAAATCAATAGAAACTGCATTTAAAACCTAAATACTTCTATTTGGTTTGCTTTTTATAATGAAGCCATAAAGATTTCCTCTTATTCATCTGGCTTATAGAGGTATTAACAAACAGCAAAGAAGAGATACTGGCTTGTACTTAGCATTCAAGCTAATGTTGTTCATATTGTCTTATTAGAACACCTGGAGAGTGCAAGTTCTAACTCAGGTATACCAGCTGCACAGAGAGGTGAGTTTGTCTAATTAAGCAAATAGTCACCAAAGGTGTGAAATTCTAGTGTGGTGGTGCATAAACATATAGACATTGGAGAAATGCACTGGACAGTGGAATAGACACCAAAATGTGGCTTTATTATAGTTAGAATGTGTCTTTTAAAATATTAATTAAACTAATATTTACATTTTTAGCATTTTAATAGTTTCCCTGTTTCTAAAAATAAAATCTTAGCTCTTCAACATTTTTTAGCTCAGTAATAGTAAAAGCTATTTTTTTTAAAAAAGGAGAACTTGTTAGACTCCCACCTGCCTCCCCACTCAATGTCATCAGAAGCTTTGTTGCCAAAATCAGATGTGAAAACAGAATATTGACCAAAGTGACCCTTTGGCTTTCCTGTTACTGATGGTAGAAAAAATGTGTTTTAATAAAAGATAAGTCAACTAGTAATTTTTTAAAATGTATTCTTCAGCATTTGATTCTCAATATTTTTTTTTATTTTAAGGTAAAAATAGGGAAGGGAATTATTCACAAAGTTTGAATTGTAAATTAAAGTTATAAAATATAGACAGTTAAAACACTGTAAAGTAAAAAGAATGGGAAATAAAGTTAAAGCAGTGTATGGTCCTTTCATTGATATTTCTGTTAGACCTTGTTTCCATTTCCCCTAAGCGACCACACCACTATGATATCGCCAAAAATGCTCAGCCAGCTAATTGAGAACTTGGTTTTGGACAAATCAGTGTCTAAAGCTTGACTCTCTACTATCTGTCATATCTGACTTGAAAAGGACCATTCTTTTTCTAAGTTACAGTTAAATTACGTCATCAGAAGGAGTGTTATGACGAGTAAGAGACGTCATCCATATTTTTTCTTTGTTTTTTCTTTTGTTTTCTGTCTGTGTTTTCAGCAACGTCAGTTGATTACAGTTCCTTTGCAGACAGATGCAGCAGCTGGATAGAGCTCATTAAACTGAAAGCTCAGACCATAAGGCGCGGATCAATTAAGACAAGTAGGCGGATGTTTCTACCACATTATGATCTGAGAAGCATATCCCTGATTTCCCAGTGGTGAAGGCTAGACCTTACTATCCAGTAATAACATTGCCAATCAATCATGTATTGGAGTGTGAAAGCTGCAGACTCTAATGGTCACTTAGCAAAAGTTATTGAAGGGCCTTTTGATTTGTTCATTTTAACTGTACAATTGTTTTTAAAATTTTACTTTTTGTGAAGGTATTCTTAAAAGTGTATAAATAGATATTATATCCTTCTACTGGAAGGAAATTATGAGCTCTCTTATTGAAGAGACATTCTTCCAGGACCCAAGCTACTATGTAGTAGATGGCATCTGTTAGTTTACTAAGAGTGATATCCAAAGGGCTAAAAGAATGAGGTATTTCTGAATAGAAAGTAGTTAATTCTTATCTCACTGCTAGAATCAGCATCATTACTTACATGCTCTTTATACTCCATGTGTTTTGGTAGACTCTGAGGTAAATGTATTTGAGTGAAAGAATTTACATTAAAAAGGAAGAAACGATGTTTTAGAGGAAAGATCACAGGATATGGAACCAGCCAGATCTGGTTTGGGATCCTAGAAGTGTCATTTTAATAGCTGTGTGACCTTGGACAAGTTATTTAACTTCTCTGAGCCTCAGTTTCCTCATGTGTAAAATGGGGATAATAATACCTATGTTGCTGCGTTGTTGTAAGGATTAGATATATATACATATATATGTCTGGCTTATGTTAGTTACTTGTCAAGTGGTACCTATTTTTATGTTACTTTATATAACAATCAGCTTTTAGACAGCCAAGGTCATATGTTAAGTTTTTAAAATTATGAGTTTGATCAAAGAGGTTCGGAGAAGAAACCTATTACAACTAGTTAACATAAGGTTTATCTACAAGTTGACAATGATGAAGTCGGCTGAAAAAGATGGAAAAAACTGCACTGGGAAATATAACAACTTTCACACTCTCTTTGTAATAATTTGTTCCTACAGCAGATAATTTTTAATGCTCTACTGCTTTTTCTTTTTCTTCACTTTATAACGATCATTGTGTGTGTAGCTACACCGCATCAACATTTTCTTTTGCAGGAATGCCATTTTTCTTCCAAAAGAATTCCATTCCAGCATTGCCTCTTAAGTTATTCTTTCCCTCTCTTTTTAACTGCATGCAGTGCATGATAATTTCTTTACTTTCATGACATGGCTTAGCCTCACAGACAGCTGAATGTTGTCACCACTTATTTGGAAACCTTAGGGAATAATTGAGTTACCAACACCTGATCTTGATGTTTTTTCTTCTTTTTCCAAATTTAGCTGTGACAGTTGAAAAAGCAAGTCCTATGGGTGAAGGAAATTTCCGGAACCGCTCAACTCCACCTTGTGCAAATACTACAGTTGGGGTTGTTAAGATGACACCTCTTTCTTTTATTCCTGGAGCAAAAATAACTAAATATCTTGGGATAATTAACATGTTTTTTATTCGGGAAACCACTTCTCTTCGTGAGGTAATTTTATAACATTGTTTTTATGAATTTTCTGATTGAAGACATCAGTAACAAAACCAAACAAATTCCAGATTGTTATTTTTTGCCAAAGTAATCACACACGCGTGCGCATACCCACACCTTTTTGTTTTGTTTTGTTTTGTTTTCAATAACCTGTATGGATTGATTCTAGATTAGACTTACTAAATTTCATATAGCACCTAGTATTATCACCAGAGTTATGTTGGATTTAATTTCATTTATTATTAGAAATCCCAGATCCTTATCATAGGATAAATAAAACAAGTAAATTGATCTATGTTTGATTAGAGATTTGAAACAGCCTGGAAGAACAGCTTAGTTTGCTCAGTTATTTGTCTGAGATATATTTAAATAACAGGTTTTTTTTAAGATTTTATTTATTTATTTGAGAGAGAGAGAATGAGAGACAGAGAGCATGAGAGAGAGGAGGGTCAGAGGGAGAAGCAGACTCCCTGCCGAGCAGGGGGCCCGATGCGGGACTCGATCCCGGGACTCCAGGATCATGACCTGAGCCCAAGGCAGTCGCTTAACCGACTGAGCCACCCAGGCGCCCCTAAATAACAGTTTTTAAGGCCTTACATTTAGAAATCATAAGGGACTATATTATAGATAGATGTCTGTGGGGATAGTTTATCATTTTCTCTCCCTGCAAAAGAATGCGGCTGCTCATTTTATTCCCACCTCTCCAAAAGTACATGAGAATGCCGTTTATTCAAATTCTTACCTCATACTGTATAACCATAGTTATAAATGTTTTGATGTGGTCAAATTTAAGAATTACAGTCAGCCTATTATATCTTTAATTACACAGGAATTTAAATTCAAGAAAAAAATTATATTGTGTCTTACATTATGAAATAAGGCTAGAGCAAATTAATATTGTGAATAGGGAAATTTTTTATTGAATAGGTATGAAACCCAGTAAACTCTTGAGCAGTTTGTATTTTTTAAAAGTGTGTGCATTATAAAGATGACTTAACTATGCTTTTTTCCCATTGTCTCACCATCAGTGTTTCTATACTTTCTTAGAAATAATAGCCCTCATGCTATTTTTTTAAGTAGGCTCCATAATGGGGTTTGAACTCATGACCCTGAGATCAAGATCTGAGCTGAGATCAAGAGTTGGACTTTTAACCCCCTAAGCCACCCAGGCACCCCAGCCCTCATACTATTTTTTAATATCATGCTCACCATCCTGTACCTGGCACAGTGCCTGGCAGAGTAGACATAGTTATTTTTGTGTAAATGAAGGAATGACTTCTGACAGATTGGTTAGATGTTTCCTTTATGATACATTAGGTTTTAAAGCATATTCTAATTGTGTTGAGATGGAAAAGACACTTAATATATTCTCAAAACCCTTTTTAATATAGAATTAAAATAGGTGACACTTCTAAGCCCATTTAAGTTTGATAAAATTGGGTGTGAGAAGCTGGTATAGATTGGTGAATTAACTTTCCAGTTGCTCTTAATAGTACATGGATATTGCATTATTGTAGTCCATAAAATTTTATTTCCTAAGTGCCTTCTCTACTGCTTAAGCAGCCATACCCCAAAATGTTGCTTCATAGTAGATTTCCTTTCAACAGAGAATTGTAATATTAACTGGATGGCATAATATCCCAAATTTATTCATTGCTTGATAAGTTATTTGCTTTCTATTTTGTAATCTTCTAAGAATTACCCCTCTGTAGTCTTTGGTACTCTGCCATCAGAATTTCGAGATTTAAAAGGCAGGAGGAAAACAGATACAAGTAAAAGAAAAAAAATGTACTGAGCTATGACTGAGTTGGAGGTAGGCTGAAATACCTCAATTCCTTAATTATAAAGAGCTACCTTTATATGTAGGATCTATATATAGGATCCCCTGGCTTTTTAGTAAGGTGTGATCTGGTCAAATGTTTTTTTTTAACAGTGCATTAAATTTTGCCCTTAACTTCTAGTTTAAAGTTGGAAATTTCTTCCTTGACTGTAAATAACCTCCAGTAGAATTCATGGAAAACTTAGGTTCTAAAGCATTTTAGGCTCTCTGCTAGACTTTGGTTTCTGTTTTATTTTTGAATACTGAAAACATTCCCTAAACTATTGGATTTCATTTCCTAACAAATATGTATGGAATGCTTAGTGTGTGCACCTATTGAACTAGGTGTTAGCATATAGTTATGAGCAAAACAGATGGCAGTCTCTGGCCTGATGGAATTTACAGTCTAGTGAAACGGAGCATGGTGAGCATGCAACAAATAATCATGTAACTAATGTATTACTAGTGATAGTAATATAAAGAAATACAACAGAGGCTATCAGGGAATTCAGCTGGGGATCTTAATTTAGATCTGATAGTTAGGGAACATTTCTCTGAGAAAGTTACATATAAACAGGGACCTGAAGAATTGAGTAAGAGTTATCCTGATGGAAAATTGGGTGAGGAACCTTCAGAAACAGCATGTACAGCATGGACCTGAGGCAGGAAAAGTGCTTGATAGGTTTGAGAAACTGATAAAAAGGCAAGTGTACTTGGAACATGCTTCAGAATGGGAGAGATGGAGAGCAGAGCAGTTTTATTGTTTATATTTACCTTCAATTTCTGTGAGTGATAGGAATGATTTGATGGAGACGTTGACATTGGAGAAACAGTTTGAATTCTTGCTCTGCCATTTTTTATTACCTATGTGGTCATAGTCATGGGCATATGACACATTCTCTGACATCAGTTTCATCATCTGTGAAGTAAGGATATTAATCCCCATCACAGACATGTGTTCAGTAAAGGTTTGTTTGTTCATTCATGTAACAAATCCCTGTTATGAGGGAAATTAAAATGATCCATCCATTATATTAAGATTATTTAAGATTTTTAGTATATATATTTTTGGCATTTTATATACATTCATGTCTACAGTTTGATTTTCTTTCATATTATTTTCTAGGAAGGAGGAGTCAGTGGTTTTCTCCATGCTTTTATTGCTGAAGTGTTTGCAATGGTGAGAGCTCATGTTGCTGCATTAGGAGGGAATGCTGTTGTCTCCTACATAATGAAGCAGTGTGTCTTCATGGAGAATCCAAATAAAAACCAGGTGAGATGTAGTCAAAAACTTCTTTTGGGGGAACCTGAGGATTTCCCTCCCCTATGGCTTTCCCATCTCCCACCCTCCCCCCAACCTCCACCAAAGAGAATTGCTCTTCAGAACTTTTTGTTTCCAGATGCTTGAAACATGTTTTAACAAATATATTAATAACCATGGTCATATATAGATCAGATGCTGTTTTCACATCTGGGTATTCTTAAATACCTCTGGAAGTTTAGCTTCTAAGTTACTGTGAGAGACAACCTTTAGTTTGGACTATGTTCTGTCTAGTTCTAATCGCCGTAGTGGTACGTAGTGGTACGTCCCGATTATTATCCCTAATAAATACTTCTGTTAGTGGGGGCAAAGAATTGTTGCTTAGGATTAATTTTAGAATAAATTCCTTTTATCAGTATTGTTCATATAATAGCTCACTTAGAATTGTTAAAGTTTCCTTTAAAAAATTTAATTCTATCAGTGGGGTTTTTTTGAGTTTCCTTTCTTGTGAGTTGCCTTCCTTTTTTTCCCTTTGTTCATTTTTCTGTTGGGTTGTCTCTTTTCCAAGTGACTTAAAAGCCTGTGCTTTTTCAGCTATGTAGCACTGGCCCTAAAATAACAGAAAATTATGAGCAGATTGTTGGGTTGGTGATTGAACATTTCCTGTTGTTTGTATAGGCACAGTGTCTTATAAATGTGAGTGGTGATGCAGTGGTTTTTGTTCGTGAATCTGAATTAGAAGTGGTGTCAACTCAGCAGCCTACTACCAACTGCCCCCCATCATGTGCTGGAGGAGAAGTTACAACCTGAAGTAAATCAGAAAGAGCTCAGCTCAATGAAATCCATCTGTCTCCATTGTTTTGTCTTTAATTATCTTACTGGACTTTTAAAAATGAACTTATTTGAGATAATTAAGAAAGAATTGGTACATTATGGGTGATTTGATTTATCTGGAATCTCTTGGAGGCATGAGAATTCTCAAATCCTGATGTTTTGTTTGCCAGTCCTAGTCAGGCCCCATGGAATCTTGACTCCTCACTAAGTTCAGATAGATTTCTCAGAGAACTGTAGCAGAGATGGAAGTTATTGGTAATTTATGTTGACTTAAATAAAATCATACTTAGAAATAAAATGGTCAAATCATCAAAATTATAATAGCTATCCTAGTGTAATTGAGAGAAACTAAGAAATTTACAAATTGTCAATGAATAAAAAAAATCTGATTTGAGGAATGTGTGAGAAAATGCAGAAAAGTTTGAGAACACTATGCGGGTTTCCTAATATGTTTTATTTTGAGAACAACTGAATTTGGAATTTGGTAACAACCGAAAGGAAGAGTGCTTCAGCCATCTTTTAAAAAGAAGTTAAAATTCTGCAACTTGTATCCATACTGTGTCTTAACTACTGTAAAAGAAAAAGTAATTTATTAGAGCCAGTGTCCTTCCATTGAAAGTTCTAATAATGTCTGTAAGGAGGGAGGAAAAAACTATGTAATTTTGTAACTGGCCAAATTTTATTAGTGCTTAATTTGTCTAGAAGAGGCTTGGCTTCAACTGGAAGGAAAAGGTCAGTGAATTTTGTTGAAGTAGTTAAGGTATAATTGATCTAGTAGGAGCATAAAATTATTTCTGATAGAATCATACTGCACTCCTACCAAATAAACAGAATTATATCTTAGGGATTTTTGATGGTGAGTTAGATTGTATTTGGCATAGAATTTGGAAATGTAACTTGAATGTAAGTATGCTGCAAAGTGTTGAATGTATACATAGAAATACTTTTTCTGTCAATGCCAAATACCTATTGTAAATGAAGCATACAAAGTACATTCCTCCTTTGCACAATAAAATTTCTTTATAAAACTTATGGTTTTGCTCTTTCAGGATAACAAACTACCCTAAAGATTAGGAGTCATTTCCTTGTTATCACAGGTGTCAATATTTTTCTGTATTTTGTGTATAATTTTATTTTTTAAATAAAAAGTTTATAAACTGGAATATTGCTAAATCTCTTGTTTGCCTCCTTTGTGTAGTGTAGGACTGCCAGTAGTCTGAAATCACTTTCCATCTGGTCACCTCCATTTATTCCTGCAGTCAGCAAACATCCATTGTGTAGCTACTGTAATCCTTGGGGCACTTTCATGGTCTTTGGTCGGTAGGTATTCACATTCAACAACTACTGAATGCCTACTAGATCCCAGGGCATAGTTTGAGGCAGTGAACAAAACACGCTTAGGTTCCTATGATCACGGAGCTTATTTTCAGTGGCCACACAAGTAAATAATTTGTAAAATGTGCTGTGTGTATGTATATATATGTGTGTGTGTGTATATATATACTATACCTACTATTCATATATATGTGGTATATATATGTTTATGTATTGTGTGTGTATATGTATATACACACACTATAACAATTGCTAATGTTAATGTTTACTGAATGCTTACTATATGCCAGGCAGTGTAATATATATATATATGTATATATATATAATTTTAAAGATTTTATTTGTCAGAGAGAAAGCGAGCACAAGCAGGGGGAACAGGAGCAGAGGGAGAAGCAGTTTCCCCGCTGAGCAGGGAAGCCCGATGCAGGGCTCGATCCCAGGACCCTGAGATCATGACCTGAGCCAAAGATGCTTAACCGACTCAGCCACCCAGGCGTCCCTAATAAATGTATTTTTGTATTAACCCTTTTAATCTTTACAGAAACCCTATGAGGTAGAGGTAAATATCATAGTTAAGCCCTATTTTATAGTTGAGGAAACTGAGTAGAGAGTTTGATCTGCCAAAAGATTCAAGCACAGGCAATCTGGCTCTGAAACCCACACTATTAAGTGAGAAGGTAGGCACAGCTTGAGATGGAGGTAGCTTCCCAAAGGAAATGATAATTTATTTTTATTTTTATTTTTTTTATTTTTTTTTTAAAGATTTATTTATTTATTTATGTGAGAGAGCGAGAATGAGAGAGAGATAGAGTACATGAGAGGGGGGAGGGTCAGAGGGAGAAGCAGACTCCCCGCCGAGCAGGGAGCCCGATGCGGGACTCGATCCCGGGACTCCAGGATCATGACCTGAGCCGAAGGCAGTCGCCCAACCAACTGAGCCACCCAGGCGCCCCTTATTTTTATTTTTTTAAAAGATTTTATTTATTTGAGAGAGTTCGAGAGAGAGCATGAGCAGGGAGAGGGGCAGTGGGAGAGGGAGAAGTCAGAAGTCGCTTAACCGACTGAGCCCCCCAGGCGTGCCCCACGCATTATTACTAATTCTTGAACGTAAAAGTAGCTGGGTGGCATTCGCTCCATTTTGGTATGAACAGTTGTATACTCAACAGAGGCCTGCGCTGATTTCTAAAAGAGCTAGACTTTCCTTAACTACTCAGGCTTGCTCTCTGTCCACTCACATGGGCCATTTGCTCATGTGCTCTACCTCTGAAGCGTAATCAGCCCATGCAAAGCTAGGCTTCTTGCGGAAAAGCTAACGTTGCCCTATACGCCAAGAGCTGCTGCTCTTTCCTTCGTGTGGATTCCTCAAAAATGATCATTTTTACAGATGTGCTGGCACTCACTCTTTTGGGAATACTGAGGCCAGTTACAGTATTTATAGCAGGCCTCCTATGTATCTCTTTCATTCGTTATTACTGCTCCAAGGGTAAACTACAAAACTTAGCCCATGTTAGATTTGCTAACTGCACTGTCCCACTTCTTCCATCTCCTTCTTTTCCCTAATCCATTGCCATCTGGCTTCCAACTCCTCTGCCCTTTGTATGCCAATGATACAAGTATTGGGTTGCTGACAAGCTTTTTTTATACATACATACAATTTTTCATTAATGTATAGATGGGATTATATACACAATTTTAAATAGAGTAGCTTTATTTTTTACCTTTTTGCCTGGCTTTCTCCTCTTTCCCATCACATCCCTATTAATAATCTGCTAAGGAGTGATAGTTTACATTCAGTAAAATTAATCTAAATGTACAGTTCAAGGGGCTCTGACAAATAGGTTCAGTTGTGTAACCAAGGTAAAGAACATCCCCATCACACAAGAGAACATTTCCATTTCACACACACACATGCACACACATGAAAAAAAAAAAAAACACATTTCCATCGCCCCAGGTTTTCCTTCTGCCCTTTGGCAGTCAGTCCACTTCTTTTGTGTAAATGGGATCTTGTGCTTTTTTTCTTTTTTAAAGATTTTATTTATTTGAGAGGAGAGAGAGTAAGAGAGAGAGTACAAGGGGATGGGGGGTGGGGTGGGGAGAAACAGGCTCCCTCCTTGGAGATAGATTCCAGGACCCTGGGATCATGACCTGAGTTGAAGGCAGACGCTTAACCAACTGAGCCACCCAGGTGCTCCGGGATTTTATGCTTGATAACTTTCACCTAGTGTAGTGGGTGCATCTACATATAGACATTTTCGGCTATTATGAATAAAGCGATTTTTTAAATTGAGTTGGCACTTTTCTGTGAAAATTGAACTTCTCTTTGGAATTTACCTTTCTTGTTGATAATTTGCCATGTGTTTGACAAAATTTCCCCTTATTTTGTTGTCCATCAACATAATTTATGCTACCTTTTTATCATATCCAAACATTTAATTTTATTATGGACAATATGACTACCTTTTCTTTCTTAGATTCCCTTAATTAAGATGATCTCCCCTTGATTTTTTGGTTATCTCGAAGGTTGAAGGTTCATCAAACATGTCCTGAATTGCTCTCATCTCGGTGGCTCCCCACCAAACTTGATACCCTTCCTTATTTCTTACTAGATAAATGCCATCACATTTAGTCAGTCTTAGCTTGAGCCAGATACCTGAGGGAGATTCAAAGCCTATACCTTTTCCACTACACCACCCAATTTCATAGAACAAGATGCATAAAAGTGTGGAGGCTTGAAAATGCATGTTACATGAAAGTAACACATTATTTACAAACAGTTTTGTAGTTTCCCCCCTTCCTCCCCCACCCCCCGGGGAGAGGCTTTCACAGAGTACTTTGAGAATCTGATTTAAACTCTGCAACTTTTCCCCAGAAAAATAGGAAACACTTGATATTCTGCATACTACCTCAGGAGGTTTATTGAAACATTGAAACCCCTAGTATAGAATCAATGGAGGGGAATAAGGAACCAGGCCGAAATAGAGATTAGGAATAATTGGGTAAATGCTATCTAAAAATTTGCCTTTTCCCCAGTAGGAAAGTCAAGATTTTTTTTTTTTTAAGATTTTATTTATTTTTTAGAGAGCGAGCGAGAGAGAGAGCATGAGAGGGGAGAGGGTCAGAGGGAGAAGCAGGCTCCCCGCTGAGCCGGGAGCCCGATGTGGGACTCTATCCCAGGACCCTGGGATCATGACTTGAGCTGAAGGCAGACGCCTAACCATCTGAGCCACCCAGGCGCCCCAAGTCAAGATATTTTTAAGATTAGATTTTTAAATATTAAAAAACCTAGGGGTGCCTGGCTGGTTCAGTTGGTGGAGCACGTGAGTCTTGATCTTGGGGTTGTGGGTTCAGGCCCCCCGTTGGGTGTGGCGATTACTTAAAAATAAAAGATCTTTAAAAAAAAAACACACCAATATATCTATGGTAGGCAGAATAGCCCCACCCCCTCAAAGATGTCCACAGCCTAATTTTCAGAACCTATGAATATATTACCTTACAGGACAAAAGGGACTTTGCAGATGTGACAAAGTTAAAGACCTGGAGATGGGGAAATTATCTATGGTTATCTGCAAGGGTCCTAGATTCTAATCATAGGAATCCTCAAAAATGGAAGAGGAGGGTAGAAGAGTAGGTGAGAGAGATTCTATGAGAGATGGACTCAAGCTGCCATTCCTGGCTTTGAAGAAGTTAGAAGGGAGCAACAAGCTGAGAAATATGGGTGGCCTCTAGACTCCAGGAATGGCCCTCAGCTGACAGCTAGCAAGAAAATGGGGTTCTCAGTTCTATAACTGCAAGGAACTGAATTTTAACAACTCAAACCGGCAAGGAGATGGAGTCTTCCTTAGAGCCTCCAGAAAGGAACAGAACCCAGCTAGTGGCTTGATTTTAGCCTTACAAGACCCATATCAGATTTCTGACCTATGGAACTGTAAGATAATAAACTTATTTAAGCCACTAAGTTGGCGATAGTTTGTTACAAAGTTCTCATAAATTTAAACTATGGCCATATATAAAGTATAAAATTACAATATAGTGCTATTTATGGTAATATGAAATGCTTCACACACTCAGGATATAAGTACAGTCATATCTCTTTTATTTTTCTAACTAATTTTTTTGAATACCCACCCAACTAATTAGGATAAATCCAGAATCTCTCACCTTTGAAGTCGTCTCC